ATCTCGCCAGTTGCGAGACCCGCATTTGCAACATCCTGGAAGTAACTCCATATAGCAGTATTCCAAACCATATACCCATCCTCGTCAGGTTCAAGACGACAAAGGGTGTTCGGAAAGGTCACAGGACGAGCAATACGATCCTGCTGAACCCGAGCTTTATCACGACTGATCCGCTGATATTCCCACCAGGGTTCGCCTTCCCACTTCTTCGCGGAATCAAGGCCATTTTCCACACAATGGGCAGTAATCGTTTTCCGAAGGGCAGCGAGGAGATTCACCGACGCTTCGTGGGCTTCATCAGAAGATTCGGGTCCCCATGTGATCGCCGCGGGACCAGAGCCAACTACACCAACTGGAGCAGTAAGACCTGTACTCGGTGCTGCGCTGCCAGGGACAGAATTATCGACCCACTCGAGGATCTCAAAGAGAACCCATGATTCGTACAACATGCCGATTGGGACCTAGAAGTGAAGCAACCCCGAATTAGCTCCGAATCAGTACTGAATTGAGGATACTCACCACATGGCAAACCGCGTTCTTACCATTACAACCATCGCAATTCTGTGAAGCAACCGTACCCCAAGTACACTCTATATCCACCCGGGATCCGTCACCTGCGACAAAGGCTGTACCAGCCCGGCCAAAGCAGCCGATACAAGCAGTATACGACGCCCGGGTAGGTGATGCCCGAGGTGTCCTGTCACTTGGCAAGGGCATTAGTCCTGAAGATGAAGAAGATGACGATTCTGCTGGGAACAATGGTGGATAATAGGAGAGGAGCGAGGGTAATTCCTTACCTTTTCTATCTCTGCCCTGTCGGATATTCCCAGTAGAACAAAGACAAACCGCTCCTACTGTCAACAAAGGTTAAACTGAGGCTGAAACCTCAATATCAAAGAATCTCTCATTTGAGAATTTTACGCAGATTGCGTGATCGAAACCCCTTTGTTTTGCAGGCGACAGATGGTCGTATCGCCCTGCTTTCTTTGTGAAAACTGATGCGTGTTCTTTTCTACAAACACTTTCCTGTCAACTCTCGGTTCTGTCTTTGGTTCTGTATTTAGCAATTACTTGAAGGGTCTGGTCAACTGGGGCAGTTGCCCCTTAGAGGGGGGATAATTGTCACGAAACTGACAAGGAGTATCTGGAAGTTCTCTCATGTGACCTCAGCTGACCTTGCCGAGAGAGTGCGGGGTATAAAGCCCATCTCTCTCTTAGTACCTACGATTCCTTCAAGAATCAGTTTTGATACAAATCTGATTACTGCTTTTTTACAACCCATCTATTCTCCCTCTATCTTATCCATAAACCCTAACAGTTTCAACCTAGGAGAAACTGGTGTTGTGTTTATTTATGTGGTCGTCGGCTATATTCTAGCAGTAGTAATATATTTTGCATATTTGCACTTTCTACTAATACCAGATATCAAGCAGAATGGTTTACAGCCTCCAGAGTGGCGATTAAGACCATCTCTTATTACCGTCTTTGGCCCCCCAATTAGCCTCTTTCTGTTCGGTAAGTAGAACTTTCACAAGGAAACAGATTTACACACATTTTCAACCATCAATTAGAATGCGCTAATTGAATCGAAGGTTAGACCGCGATTATTCATATTCATTAGATTACCAGCGCCATCGGAATCACAATTTACGCTCTAAACGTTTTCATCATTTTGCAGTGCATTTTTATTCATATTCCAATATCGTATCCGCAATATACTATATCTCTTTTTGCCGGCAATGACTTTTGCCGTTCGGCCTTTGCATTTGGCTCTATTTTGTAGTCTCGGCCAATATTCGAAAATCTCGGAATTAGTTAAGGGATAAGTCTCTTAGCAGGTCTCAGTATTCTAGGCATAGTAAGTTTCGTACTCCAGGTGCTTCGTAAAAGCTAACCAAAATCGTTGCAGGTCGGTATTTGGCTACTTTACTTTTTAAGAGCACGCTCTAAGTTTGCTGTTGCATAGAGCTGAAGAGTTCGCCGTTTTTATATATCTCATCCTAAGAAAGGCCAAGGCGCGGATAATACATCGCTCAGAGGTATACTCGCCGACTTCCTTAGGCTTATAAGTCGTGCCGAAAGCGTAAGACAAAATACAGTAGCGAGATCCCGGTTTTTAGCAGTGCCCGCGAACTCAAGAGTAACTTTTGAGGTAGATTATTCATTACTAGTAGTATTACTAGTAGGCTTCTTTAGAACCCAATTTAGGTCCTGATTACCTAGCCCGATCCATTATGTACCAACTAGGGCCCCATTAGGGCTTAATTTTACATAATTTACCCCTATTATGCTTCTATATTCTCTATATTCTGCTATTTCGACTAGGTGGATTTAGATAAATTTACACACATATATAGAGAAAGCATAGATAAATCTATACTCTGAAATCTAACTAAATTCGACCAGTAGAAAAAGAGAAATTTAAAAAGTCTCATTCTCATATATTCAAGAATCTTTGAAATAAGCGGTAGCTCCACCGCTTTTCTAATAACCCTTTGTAATTTATTTATTTTTATCGATTAAGAGATATCTAATATATTACTAGTAACATATGAATCTTCTTATAGATTTAGAGATTTTAGCTCATAAAATAATAAAACTTCATTAGCAGAGGGCCCTAAAACATGCTATGAACATACTATACTATAAGCTAGGCATATCTACTATATTTGCGACCTAATTAGGTATTGGGTTAGGTTAGGTCGGACTTAGGTCCTGCCGAAGCATAACAATCTCTGGATCAACCATAGTTGCGTAACTGTTCTAGAAGATTTCTTTTTCCCTAGACTTCTGCATGGGCTGGGCCTTGGACATAATTTTCTGGCCCATGGGCCGGTAAATTTAAATCTCTATGTAATTACCATGTAGTCTATCAGAAACATTAGTATTAACTAGGTAATATATGTAATATATGTATACATTACTTAGGCTTTAGCATGGGTTGGGCCTTGGACATAATTTTCCGGCCCATGCAGAAGTCTATTTTTCCCTATGAGTGTCTAGAGCATAGATAGATATTTCTATACCATACCCTAGGACAGTCTAGACTGTTCGGTAGCATTATGATATCCGTACTCTTTGCCATTCGAAAGTATCGCGCGATGCGGTAGTATATTAGATATTGTGACTCTGCATATTAGGCTTCATCCATAGCCGCCATTTTCACCAGACACTCCCAGCGTGTCAGCCGATGACCTTCGCCACAATTGGCGCGCTTAATTAGTCTCAATCGCCTCTTCGTTAACGGACACTCCCAGGTCGGGTGCCCATAAGCGCAGTGGCCGCATCTGAAGACGTTGGAACTAGGTAGACGTGCCAATATGGGACCGGAAAAAAAATATTCTTGTCCAAGTCCCATTTGCCAAGATCCCATGGGATTTACTAAGCGCAATGGGACTCCTATGGGATTCCCATGGGATCCCATGGGAATCCCAGCTAGATCCCATATCCCTTATTTCCTGCATAATTGCCTAAAGAGGAAATGGATAAATTAATGTAAATTACGAAGGTAATTTTGGCTGTTTTATATTTGTTTTACTAGTTACAGTCAGGGATATCATAAAGATATATATCTACACCCAGGGACTACTTATATTTTCCTAGCCTTATGAATCTCTACTTTTTTTCCCTAAAATTAGCTAAAATAGTGATTTTTAATATATTTTCGATTAGAACTAGTCATTTTTATCTTATTTCTTCTAAAACTCGATATCAATATACGAGATTTCCAGGAAATTATTAAAGAGATATATGTTAGCCTACTTATCACGTGATTAACTTCACTAAAAGTTAAACCCCTAAAATAGGGGTTCAACTTAATTAATCCAATTCAAAGGTAGAAGAGGGGGGAGAGGGTTATTAGTAGTAATTTTCCTCTGTATCTTAAATCCTCTATACATAGTCAATACAGCGGAAAATTTCAACAAAGTTATGCAGTCATGTGATCTTTCCTAATCTGGCTAGATCGAGTCCCATGGGATCCCATGGGACCACCCTTCTTGTCCAAATCCCAGAAGCAGAATCCCATAGGACTTACGTAAGTGGGATTTCCCATGGCTTAGCGTGGGAGTCCTACGTGGACCCATAGGTCCATGTCCCATATTGGCAGGTCTAGAACTAGGTGATTAGATAAGCCTTAGCTTTTGGCATTTCCAACATAGTAATTCGTTCGCCACATCGGACATCGTCTTCTGAATAAGTTTCATCGACCTAGGGGATATAGTTTATAAGACACCCCACGACAGGCCTTCTACCACGCAGGATGCTTGCGAAGAGCCTCAGCCCCTGCTATACTATTGGCTATCGTCACCTAATCACCCGAAGGTAGCTTCCGGGTCGCGACAAACGAGGCTTACCCAGCCAGGACCCCAGAATTTTGCCGGGTAATCATAACCTGTCATTCGACTCTTTCAGCCAAATGTTTCGGTGTCAATCCTCGGATTTATTCCCGGTTCGGCCCAACTTTGATGATCTCACAGTCCTCACGAAGCTCGACCTTCGGTACTTCCGGGGGGGACGTGCCATTGCTCCGGTATTAGGTGGCTCAGCCTCGGTTAGGTCACGCTGCCAGTCTCTGACTGGGATGGTGCGCCACGCCGCCGCTGAATATCAAGTTTTTTATCTGACCTTAACAGGTCTCGCGGCAAAGTTTAGGGCGCGCCAATAACAAACACATAACAGGGAGGTACACATATCTCAGTTTCTGCGCCTGTCTTGATATGATCTCATGCCTCTGTTGCACGCCTAACCCTAGAACACTCTAACGTCCCGAATTGACTACAATCCGGCAAGGCCAAGAGATACTTCTTATATCCCTCGGGAAGCTACGCCTCCCAGAGGCCGGTACAGTTATTACCACGGCCAAGTGGTCGCTTCCTGGTTGATTGTGGCTTTCAGAAACTACATACGTCAAACCCCTTATAGATCCCTCATGAATATTATTCTTAAATTACTATTCGTATTTATAGTATCTCTAATTATAATTTCAGTATCGCTGGCTATTATCGGTCCCCCTTCCGAGCCATCTCACAATCAACCCACTTATCACTTCCCGGCCTCGCAACCAAGTTATTTGTCGACGAAGAATCCGGAAATTCCTGGTCTGACCCCCGCTCGCTCCTCTGGTAGATGACCGTCAGCCCAACACTACCCTCTAAGTGCCCTCTCTTGTCGAGCGAGGACAGGTTGTGTGAGGTTGTCCGCGACGCCAGCGTCCCGGTAACGTGCTTTCGCCAGACAGCCTTGAAGGTCGGGAGCTTTGAAGCCACAATGGCGCTGTTGAGTTCGACGGCAGAGATAATGACCATTTCGCCGAGGACGTACGTAAAGTCTGGGTGGAATGCGAACTGGTGAAGGACGATGATGCGAAGGCAGGAAACAATGACCGCGATACCGGCAACGGTGATAGTGGCAATAATACCCAGTCGGCGGGTGACGCTTGCTTGGATCTTCCATAGGGGGCGGATAGGGGAGAAGAGGATGATAGAGTCCATCATGATGGACTGAGGTGGATTGGTTAGCTGCACCGTCTTTTTCTAAAGCTAGTGGCCTAGGGACTTACAAGCGCGGCAGGCACGTAGTAGGTTACGGATGTTGATAGGCACTTGGCCTCTGGGTATGTCGCGCTGTCCCAAAAAGCTTCCAATGGCACTGGAGGCAGTAGAGCAGCCAGAGGGAGATGGAAACGAGGAAGTTCATTAACAATGTCGCATAAACACAATAGATGAAGCTTGTCTGGTTTGTGAGCCTTAGAAGAGCAAAAATCCCGTCTTGATGGAGAATTGCATCCAGATATATGCAATTTCTTCAGAAAGGAGAAGCTGCGTGCAGATTAAAAGTCAGATTGAGAACCTCTGAACTGGATATCGGGGTGGCTTTCCGAACATACATTGGATAAGGTCATTACAATCGCTGGATTAGGCGTGGGGGCAAGATGACTAGAAATCTGTATCAGACCCCATATCAGAGCAATACTTCATTGGGTATATTAGAACATACAGTCCGCCTCCATAGTGAAGAAACGCACAGAATATTCCTTGTTGTGCTATATTGGAAATCTACACGATGATTAGATTGACCGTGTAGATTTCAAAATTTCGATAATACCAAACTCACCATCACTATAACCATCCACCAATCATCCATCCCAAAAGCTTTGATGATCCATCCTCGCCAGTATACGCGCACGCACGTCGAAAAAGTGGAGAGCGCCCAGAAAATGAAGGAAACAGCATTTGCAGCCGGCTGCAGCGACTCCAACATTTTCACGAGGACAAGAGCGAGAGAGCCAACGCCCGAAAAGAATGACTAGAAAAGACAGAGAACAGGGCGAAGTTCGCAATAATATAACCTGGTCTAACCAACACTTTGGATCCAGGGCGTTGGAATTAAATGAGCGGCTGGCCGCGAATACACATGCGATCGACAAAACATCTGCCTTTCCTTCAATCCTTCGCTAGCCGCGGAAACCACTCCAACATCGAGGAAAACTCAAGGACTCTGTCATATTAGAGGAAAAGCGATAATTTCCCCTTCTAATCAGGAAGACAGCTTAGAAAACATATCAATTCCCGGAACATTGCGAGTTCATATTGGACAAGGCTCGAGAACGCGGCACATAGCGCCGGGGCTAATGCAGCGCTAAATCCTTGGTGCCCCGAAGGATCGACTATTACGCCGCTTCCCGGCACACTGGAAGTGCCCCTAGTACCGAATCACTTGATTGTTTCCTTTTCTGGCTCCCACTTCTATCCGATAATCCTCCAAGGAACGATAATCCCTCAAGGAATTGGAGAATGGTGTCTAGATTACAAGTGCCATTGTGTCTGCTGCCCCTGGCCAGAACGAGAGAAAGGCGAGAAAGTCTCACGCCGTAAAGCCCCCAATTTTTGAAGAGATGGCCTGGCCAACGACCCTCGCGACACTGCTGAGCCCAGCTCCTTCGCAGATTGCACCCACTTTCACAGTGCTCGGGGCCGCATTTCATCAGTGCATTCGCACCTTGGAAATCGACAACCGTATCAAGTCACTCTTGGCCTTGTACCTGGGAGCTTGGTTGGCCCTGTGCGGCACCTATATCTGTGTATACTCTCTGGGCACATTCTGTGTGATTGGACGCTCCCTGCTTGCCGCATGTTGTTTCAATTTCGGACTCGCGATCAGTATCCTGATCTACCGCGCCTTTTTCCATCGCCTCAGTCGGTTTTCAGGCCCATGGGACGCTAAATTGAGCCGGCTGTTCCCGCTTCAGCAGGGGATTAAACAAACTCAGTACCACCTGGATCTCCAAAAATTGCACCAACAGTATGGCGACTTTGTGCGTACAGGTCCCGGGAGATCTCAATTGATCGGCTATCAGCCGTGCCCGCGTTACATGGGCCACAATCGCCTTGCACAAAATCTCCATGGTATAGCCATGTGTCAGACGATAATGCACAGATTTATTTGAACTTAACGCGAGATCCCATGGTCCACCGTCGCAGGCGAAAAGCTTGGGAGCGTGCATTCAACATGAAGGTAATAGACTCCAATCCAAACTCTCCTCTATGGTCTTCTTGCCCCTTATTGCGTAGTAGCTAATAGATGTACGTGTTGTATAGCACTAGCATCATACGAGCCCCGCGTTCAAAACAAAGTGAATGTTCTTGCCACTCAGATCCACTCCAGACAGAATCAACCACTCGACAAGAAAAAGGTGGGCCTGAGATGCAACTTCTACGCAACAATCCCTCCATGACTTTTCCTACGTACCAAGTTGAATTTCTAACGCGCGACCACAGCAATGGGGCTTGAAAAGCGACAAGACCCCGCAAGACGTCATCTCCTGGCTAGTGAAAGCCCTCGAGGAGAAAGACCAAGCTGCTCCACCAGGCGCCCAGGCTCTCAACGACGATGGCCGTCTTATAATCATCGCCGGAAGGTCCGTCAGGTATCCTAAAGGCCCTAAAAATAATTAATCCAACATAAAATCCAGTGACACCACGGCCAGAACCCTCGCCCACGCACTATATTATCTGGTCAAGACTCCCTCTGCATACCAAAGTCTACTAGAAGAACTTGACAACGCCTTTGGAAGTAAAGCCGATACCTCGGAATTCACTAACGAGAAGCTCTGCCACCTTCCTTGCCTCCAAGCCGTCATCAACGAGACCCTCCGCCTCAAGCCTGCCGTGCCTAGCGTTAACCCCATACTAACTTCACCACATGGTCTACATATTGAGGAAGTTTGGATCCCAGGCGATACGATCGTTGTGATACCGCAGTATGTGCTTCAGCGCGATGAGCGCTATTTTCCCTCCGGTTCGGAATTCATTCCGGAGCGTTGGCTGGAAGGAAAGAATGATTTTTCTAAGCATGAGGAAGCATACTTCCCATTTCAAATAGGTAGATATATCAGTTATTCTCATTGAGATTGGAATTGATGTGCTAATGACACTTCAGGTCGGTACTCCTGCGTTGGAAAGTAGCTCGCACTCATGCAGCTTCGATGCGTGATCGCCCGGCTCGTGTACGATTTTGTCTTTGCGTTCGCAGATGGGGAGGATGGGTTGTCATTTGATGCTGACTCTAAGGATACTTTCACTTTTACTCTTGGGTCATTATATTCAGTTTTCATAGATCGGGTTCGGGAATAGTGTGGGCTTAGACTTCTACATGGGCCGGCCCATTGCTGCCTGATTCTGTCTGATTTCTTAATATAAACTGCTGAGTCATCTGAAATTAATTCTGTTATTTACCCGCATTTTGGTAAGAACATGTACCACTTAACTTATTTTCTACCTTATTTCTTATATTTTTATGAAATATCCCTATTTATAGATAGATAATATATATGTTTATTAATATAATAGCTATTTTCAAAATATAAGCGTATGGTATAGGGTATATCTAGTCTGTGCCAAAACCCGCAAATAGGTAGGTCAAGCCAACCCGCAACCCGAACCCGCAAACCCGATGGGTTGGGTGCTTTACCCACGCTAGCCCTTCGGCTTTTCAATTTCCCTGTTTGAATTGGGGGCGTTTAATACATGGGTTTCTATCACTGGGTTGGGTTCTAAAATTTTGAAATGGGGCCCCATTTGCCGAAGCCTAAACGCAAACTAGTCAAATCCATACCGACAGAAAGCCACAATATGATTGGTTTCAGGAAGGCGGTGAGTTGTAAAAACAATAACAAAATCATCGTAGGAACAATCTTGATCCGGAAGAATTCTCTGACCAATCAGAAGCCTCCATTTCCACCGCTTTATGAGGGTACCCGAGTAGTAAGAGGGGTAGATTTCGATCCACGGAAAGAAACACCAAGGAAGTTATTCTTCAATAGACTATGTTTCATTGGCCACAAGTCTTGGGTCCAGAGATGCCCTTGATTATTTATATATTGCTAAGCCTTACTCAGCTAATCTAATCGTCCTTGACTCTCATAGGGATTTGCGGGGTAGTCTAATTACCCACGTCGATCATGCGCCACATGAAGCGCGTGCATATCAGCTATCTGTCATAAATAGTCGTTCTCGGACCAGTAACTCAACTCATCCTAGCCTTTTCTTTCATATTGTCGCTTTTCCCCTCTACTTTACCCCCAAAGCTTATACGATGAGTTGTGACATTCCCCAAAAGCAGGACGAGGTAGATGAACTACCCACTGCGAGACATATCAATCTCGCCACTTCAAGCAAGGCAAATGATCATGGACATGTTGTCGACGCAGAGAACGGCTCGGGTTGTCTCAATAGCAAGTTAGCTAAAGACGGCCACACGATCCTCATCCCGCAACCGAGCTCGGATCCGGAAGATCCTTTGAACTGGTCTTCATTCAAAAAGCACCTCATCCTTCTCATTATATCGTGGACTGCCATGCTGGCAGACTATGGTTCTGCCACGGGCGCAGTCACCCTGATCCCGCAAGCGGCAGAATGGGGCATAAGCCCAGATACTGTGAACCATTCTCAGGTAGGGAATGTGTTCATGCTCGGAGTCGGTGGTATTTTCGTTGTCGCTGGGTCTGCCTATTTCGGCCGCCTTCCCGTTCTTTTCTGGTTCCTTGTCATTGCCACAGCCACCGCCGCTTGGTGTGCCGGTGCGACCAATTTCGAAAGCTTCATGGCCGCGCGCATTCTGAATGGATTTTTTTCTACGGTACGTTGGTATCCCCAACATGATTCAGGCCCAGCCTCCACTTCCCAACCGGCTTGCCGTTTTATGTCTCTCCGATTTGATGATACCGTTGCTAACGCATAATAGGTCGCTCAAGGGGGTGGACTGATGTTTACTAGAGACATGTTCTTCTTTCATGAACAAGCAAGGAAGATCAATATATGGGCAGCCTTTATCATTCTCAGTAAGCATGGCTCCCTCTCTGAGGCACTGCATCGTATTGATTGGCACACCTCGCCTCTCTAGGTCCATATCTCGGTCCCCTTTTCTCAGCATTCATCATCTCGACACAAAAGTGGAACGATGCATTTTGGCTGTTTTTTGCCATGTGCGGTCTTGCATTAATACTGTCTGTGCTCTTCGTTCCCGAGACGTACTACAACAGAAACTCCCATGACGTCCCTTCTAATGGATCACGGATCTCGACGCTTATCGGCATTCACCAGCGCCGTGTGAACCTACTCAAGCCAAACACTTTTATCGATGTTCTTCTCCGGCCAGCTAAAGTGATTACAAAACTACCAATTCTTTTGATGTCTTTTTTTTACTTTCTTACCTTTGCCTGGGTTGTCGGGATCAATAGTATGTTCTGATCATTCTCTCTCTTTTTCTTGGGAACTTACCGTTATCTAGCGACGCTCTCGATTTTCTTGACCCCGCTCTATAATTTTGGACCAAAACAGATTGGGTATGTTCACTTTCGTATGTTGACTGTCGATCTTCATTCGTTGCAGATGTTTTGAGATGTTTTGAATTGTTATGTCAAGCGGTAGTATCTAATATTTATCCTCTAGCTTTTTCTACTTTACCCCCATCGTTGCCGCCCTTTTGGGTGAACTATGCGGTCACTATATCCACGATCTCATCGCACATCGCTACATCAAGAAGCATCATGGCCACTTCGAACCGGAAGTCAGGCTTCGGGCTGCGATCATATCAACGCCATTCATGGTAGCAGGTATCGTTTTGTTAGGATTTGCCCTAGAGTATGGGTACCACTATATGATCACGTCTTTGGGATGGGGTCTGTATGTGTTCGGTATAATGATCACCACAGTTGCTGTCAACGCTTATGGAGTGGACTGTTATCCTGAAGGAAGCGGCGAGGTTGCTGCTTGGATAAACATGGCACGTACTACTGGTGGCTTCATCGTGAGTTACTTCCAAGTGAATTGGGCAAATTCCATGGGCGTCAAGAATAGCTTTAGCGTGCAAGCTGGTATCATTGCTGTGGCTTCTTTCATACCAATAGGCTTGATGTTCTGGGGCAGGACGTTAAGAGAGCAGAGTGGGCCACTGGGATTTAAGACGGTATGAAGTAGGACGGTAGAAATTTAGTGATACCTTCTCACTATAGTATTACGAAGTTGTGATTAGGCTGTGCCGTATAGACTTCAATAGCCTAACCCATGGGGGTAATTGTAATGCACTGCATTACAATTAAGGCGGGATTCTTTAGTATGGGCAAAAAAAAATGGGTCATAGTGCATTACATTCAAAGTATTCGAGTACATTACAATTATCTTCTAGGCCCGTACGAAGCTGAAAATTTGACATGTTTTTAATTTATATTTCAAGCACCCTCCATTTTATTTTTGATAGATTTCAGCCAGTAAATGGGGTAGTTATAGGGGTTCAAAATCCGGGAGTTTTTTTGATGGGGTGCCGACCGTAGGTTAGGGTGATATATTACCGTACGACGACCACCACCCGATACCTAATAGGGTAAGGGGATTATATAGGTTTAAAAAATGAAAATTCAACGGGTTAGGATTTTGAGAGATAGGGTTTTGTGCACAAAAACCTAACAGAATATTTAGGTAAGAGAGAGATAGGGTTTTGTGTATAAAAACCCGATAGAGAGTTTTTTAATAGGGTAATATATCACTATATGACCACTAGGCTTCTGCAAGCCCAATGGGCCGGCCCACGTGGGCTTTGGTCAGCCGGCCCAAGCCCAAAAAGCCCACGAAAAGCCCATTAGGCCCACGAAAGTGGAGACACCTTTTTTACATAATTTATGAAAAATATGCTGTATTTTTAGTATTCTATCTGTTAAATACCATAAATAAAATACATACTTTCACTACTAAGAGATAGGGTTTTGTGCACAAAACCCCTTCTGCCTGAAATTTCAGGAGTCAGCCATCTGCGCTGAAATCAGTAACACTTATTGATCTGATAAAATTTGATTGATAAATAATAACAAATGATGACTAAAAACACCTAATTAATTACATGAAATCCAATTGGCTGATCAGGGCGCTTCCGTACGCGACCAGAAGTGCGAGATGCGGGCAAATTCCCATCATCCGCACTTTCTTCCGAACTTTCTTCGGATGAATCCCCTCTTTTTCTCTTTAACCTCACACTCTCTCTTATATACTCTCTCATACTCTCTCTTATACTCTTACTCTTATCCTTACTCTCTTCAATAGCACTAATTTCACCAATATCACCCTTTTGTACCTGAATATCATCCTTTTCTCCCTTATCAAAGATCTCCAAAGATCGGATGAAAGCAAGCTCTATCTCTTCCATCTCAAATTGGGTAGCACGACTATAGAGTATAAGGTCTTTGATTATACTAGACTTCAGACGACCACACCAATAGTGGCAGATATCACGTGCTGAGTTAAAAAGCCTTTCTACCCTAGTACCTATAGCTAGGATAGAGAAGATATCACGCGTAATTTGCGCAAGAGTTAGGTATTTAGTCTCATTTTCTCTCCAAAATTGTCGAGTATTTAGTAGGGTTTTACCTAAAGATAGGGTTAGTAAGCTTTCTTAGCTAAAAGAGAGTATAAAAGGGTATAAAAAGGTAGTAAAAAGTGCCAAAAAGTATAAATTACCTGATTAAAGATAGTGAGATAACTCATCTTAGACAAAAGGGCTCTCCACTTCTAGGGTTAGTAAGCTTTCAAGCTCACTCCACTAAAGGGTGATAGAGGGTATACTAGTATGACTAGTAGATTTGCTTTGATAGTTTTTGATCCGATCTTTTAAGCTTATCTTATATTGACTAGTATAATCTTGATCTAACCAATCAGGGGTTTAAAAGAAGTAGAGCTTATACTATGGGGCAAGGATTATCCCATGTGTATATAGATTACCAAGTGTCAGAGTGCAGGCTGGCAGGGTTATAATAGGAGAAGACCGGCGGGATCGGGTCGGGTTCAGAGGGTTTCTAATTGATCCGGCAGCAGGTCGGCGGACGGTCTAGCGTAAGCTATTATACAAGACGTAGCTCCAAGAGCTACAACAGGATCCAGATCGGAAGTGCAGATAAACAAAATATAGATCACGTGCCCGTGATCTCCCTTATCGGTCCTAGCGGGTCCCTACGGACCCTATCAGGACACACCGTGACAGTACCCCCTCCCTAAGGGCCGAACTCCGTTGAGGCGAGGCTTATGGGGGTATCTCCTATGGAAGTTCCGGATGATCTCGCGGGCGTGCGCGAGATACTTAATAGGTTCCTCAGTCGGGTCGTTATACCCAATCCACTTAACGGTGTATTTTAGGCGCGGGCCTCCACGGCCGCGTTGTTCCCATTGGGAATCCAGGATATCTTCTACTTCCTACTCCTCTAGTCCTTCGACTTCGACTAGGGGCGGGGGTTCGGGCACTTGCCCCTATATAGGGTTCTCGGCCGCGGGCTGCAGCAGGCTTACGTTGAATACTGGGTGGATCTTTATGCTAGCGGGCAGTTCGAGTTTGTAAGCGTGCGGGCTTATGACCTCGAGGACCCGGAAGGGACCTAGATTCTTCCAGTCTAGCTTCTTCTATAGATGGAGGGTTTTGATGTTCTTAGCGTTCAGCCAAACCAGTTGTCCAGGGTAGTCTTCAACATTACCCAAGTCTACCCGGACCCAACCCGACCCAATACCCAAATGGGTCGGGTTTTAGGGCCAAACCTTAGACCCAAGCCTGGGTATTAGGTCCAACCCTTAGACCCAACCCAACCCTTAGGTACCCAATTGGGTCGCAAACATAGCAAATATGCCAAGATTCTGCTACTGCATAAATTATGCGTTTTTTTCAGCCAGTTGCGGTAGCCTCCTCGATTGACTGGGAATGCCAATGTTTGTACACATGGAACACCCCTACATCTAAGGGTTGAAGGATTTGAGTCGAATGAGGAGGTAGACAGAATGGTAGAATCTTCTTCTTCTCGGAGAAATTGGTAAATTCATACGTCAAAAGCGATCCAAACCCGTCCATCAGGAGCATCCGCCATGCACCCTTACGTCGTGCTTGAGTTCGATCTATCGAAATGCTGGATCCATTGATATGCTAGAGCATCATTGATATAGCCAGAATCAGTGACACCAATATGTTCGTCCTCGATAAAGTCGAACCACTGGTGCGAAAGTCGTTTTGCGGTCAAAATAATCAACGGCGGAATTGCAAATCCATCCGAAGAAATAGCTTCAACAACCGTCACATATTCTCGATTTGTATCGGTTCCAGAAACGATTTTCCGACGTGGCTCGCGAGTCACGATCCATTGGTCTTGTCCGATTCCCATCTGAAAGCCAGACTCGTTAAAATTGTATAGATCTTCACGTTGGATCCCGTAAGAGCTGACGGCGTTTTCGTAGCCCTCAAACCACTTTAGAGTGCGATCTCTATCTTCAGCTTTTAACCGCTCTCGATCAAGACTCTTGCGACGACGAATCTTATATTTAGGGTATCTTTTAAGCCAGCGTTTTAGCCAGCGGTGGTTGAGGGCAGGTGCGGCTGGTTCCGTTTCCCTAAGGATTGCAGTAGCGGTCGAGAGGATTTGCTGACGTTTTAGGGGTAGACCCATACGATAATTAAGATCCATCCACCTCATTAGGCCTGCCTCAGCACTTTCATCAAGTCTTTGACCGGTTGTTTGGCGATCAAATAGCGATTGGCGTCCCTGCCAACGCGCACGTAGACGCTGGTATGGAACGTCAAATTCTCGGCAAGCTTTGGCGATATTTGGCTTGTCTTCTGCATGTAGGTAGCCAATCGCTTGTTTTACTCGTTCCTCGATTTGCTTATTCAAAGAAGCCATGTTGGTTGAGCAGCAGTGGTTCAAAGTTGCTTGGTGTGAGGTTCGTGGGAAAATTATCGTTTGGCGTTATTTATCGTTTGGGTGGCAGACCCGCGTGTGCGCGGGTCGAGTAATTTAGTAATAAATTACGTGGGGCCGGTTATTATTGTTATTATTATTTATTGTTTCCGAGAGATGTAATATGCACTAGTACTAGAAAAGGCCAATGAGGCCATTGCACGGAACTTGAGATGTGTATTTCTATATAATCTGGATAGCAAAATAAAAGGGCTCTTTCGAGCTGATTCAGCAGTTGATGCCAAGGGGATCAGGTAGCGGTAGATGTTGACTGACGCTAGTAAGAATTCTCTCCACTTTTACCGACATTTTATCCCGTTATGACCGAAGTTTCGCGCTCTCTTTGGGGGGAGATAAGCTACTATCGCTATTCGCAACCATAGTACACGTCCACGGGGATTTCACTAGTTATACGGAGTAAATACCGGCTGATCCGGATTAATGTGGGGTATTTCCTCAAATTGTATTTAACCTTGGAATCCTTGAGTCTTGTTTTCACTTCTAATGTTCCATGAAGACCTTTTCTCCTTTGGATTAATTTTTTTTTTTTTTTTTTTTTTGGGAATTTGAAAAGAATTATGGATCAACTACCATTGGAGATCAAGCATATAATTGCCCAGTGGGTGAGTCTCCTAATATGACACCTTGATCATTTGCAGCTCTAATTTAGATTCCAGGCAGACGAAAACAAATCCAAGGAAAGCCTCCAAGCCTTGTCAAAAGTAAATAGGCAATGGAACAAGATTGCCTCATCGGTGTTGTACCGAAATCTCGTCATCCGCCTCAATTCTCAAGGAGAAATTCCCCGCAAATTGCTCCTTCCGCCGGACACCCGAAGTGTTCTCACCCACGTGAAAACATTAAGTCTTGTGGCGGAGCTTGTTCCGCCTAAACCTGGAGTCCGAGGAACCGACGATATCCCGCATGTTCTGGAAAGATTAAGGCTAGGAGAACTAGACAACCCCGCCTTCCACCGCGTTGGAAGGTATGGCAAGGGAGATTGGACTTTCATTGCGGATTTTATCAGACAAATCCCTTCTTTGCAGAATGCCAATCTCCTTATTCAGAATGGGGGCCCGGTGGAGCTCTTCGAGGTCCTTTCAGACTATCATCCCACTTGTCGAGTGTCTATCTTCACCTCTTGGCCGTTCCCCAGTCGCGGATCATATCAAGTCATCAACAAACATTGGGCCCTTTCACCGATGCTACATGCTGTGCATGTCAGCGACTATTCAAAGGAAATGTCTAGGCCAGGTCTTACCCATTCTGATTACCTTCTAAAGAAGCTTATATTACAGTCGCCACAAATAAAGGAGGCTTCATTGCAAACCACTACTAATCCCTATGGAGGTATGCGTCCTCATGACCCAAAACACAACCAAGGCCTTCTAGTGGAAGATGGAAGCCTGAATAAAACACCCACTGGCAAGCTCCAAAGACTAATATGGCCCCTTAAAAGCAAAATGACAGCCGAGCAGTTCAAGGAGTGGCAAATGGTCACAGATTTCAGCCTTCTAGAATCATGGACTATTGGCTGCGTTGAAGACTCAGCACTGCTCCAGACTATTGCGGATATCCACCCTTTCCAGCAACTGACACGACTCACCCTTGCTCTTGTCGCACCGAAAGGGGACGTTGACGACACTCTAGAATTTTGGCGTGCTGCGGAGTCAACGTTTCATTCTCTACCTCCGTTGACCTATCTTTGGTTACTGGGATCTTTTAAGCCTGCATTTTTCAATCGTGGAGTCCTGGCCAAACATGGATTAACTCTACTTGAACTGAGATTATATACGGGCCCGGGGGTCATTCAAGACATCAACACACTTTCATACACACTCGAAGGACAAATTGCGCCCGCATTTTCGTCTGATGATATTTCAGAGCTCGCAGGCCAGTGTCCGTCTCTGCAGAAGCTATTTATATGCGCACAAAGATCTCAAGATCTCGGGACGGATGTCTGGAATGCATTGGGCCGGTTCCCATCCCTTCAGGAGCTCGACTTGACGCTGAAATGCTCACCTGAGATGGATGCCAACATGATGCCGGTCCCGCCCCGTGAGTTGTCGGAGTTTGAAAAGGGCGTCCTAGTTGAATATCGCGCCTCTTGCCGGAGATGGTTTATTCGGGACTGCATTATAAACTGTTCAATCAACGAGAGTTTGGCTAAGGCATACTTCACGCATATACGCGCATGTCAGGATGAAAAACGCTTCGCCCAACTTGTGCTTCGCCCTCTTTATAATACAGTCCCTGGCCGTGATTACTTCAACCACCTGGCTCTTACGTGGACGATTGAATTAAGTGCTCTGACAGGCCTACATGCAAAATGCAAAAAGACGTCCGAATCTCGCGTTCCGACACTGGAGACGAGCTTTGGGGCAGAGATGATATCGATTTTTCGATCCATCTGACAGAATTCTCTAACCCATGGGGGTAATTCCACCGGACACCAGTGGAATTAGGGTGAGATTTTTTAGTATGGGAGAAAAAAAAGTGGGGCGGGGTCCAGTGGAATAAAACTTCTCGAGTCCAATGGATTTATATTTTGGGCCCGTACGGAGCTCAGATTTTAATATGTTTCTGGTCACTATCTACTTAATAGTCAAACCAAAATTTAGATCATATAAAGCAGTAGAAATTGTTATTACAGGGGTTGGAAATCAGGGAGTTTTTTTGATAGAGTGCCGACCACAGGTAGTCTGTGCCATAACCCGCAAATGGGTAGGTAAAGTCAACCCGAAACCCGAACCCGCAAAACCCATGGGTTGGTCAGGTCAACCCGCAACCCGCATGGGGCGGGTTGCGGGTTCGGGTGCGGGTTACCCACGCTAGCCCATCTTTGCATAAATTTCTAACGCTATACCTAAATAGGATGGATAAATTTGATTATTCATGAAATTAATTACTGTTATTTACACATATTTTTGTTACGCTTTTGAATTTCTCGTTATTCAATCATTAGTATTATGAATTTAAAAGGATTTAGGTTATATATCAAAACTTTAAGTCTAGTAATAAGATTGCCTTTAGGATTTAATGTATTTAAGGTAGGTTGTGGTTATTTAAAAGAGTTTAGGTAGGAAATGGTTATTTGGGGTGGAAATATATATATTTCATGTAGAGCTCTTCAAGTGTATCTTCTAGGAGATTTGTGGACCTTCTCTCCCCTACCTAAATCAGCTTAATTTCAACTTTTTTAATATCAAATCTATGACTGATTTCTATAGAAATCAGCAGTACTTTTATATACTCTCTCTATCTTAGACTCTGTCGTTCAGTGGCAGACTTTATCAGCCATTTCTACAGCAATTAGTAATACTTTCATAGCCTGAAAAATCAGGAGATCAACGATTTCTATAGAAATCATTAACCCCTAAGGCCTTCAGTAACCCATAAATTCAATGGGTTTTTATGGGTTTTTATGGGTTTTTATGGGTTTTTATGGGTTTTTATGGGTTTCTTATGGGTTTCTGCGGGTTATTGCGGGTTACTTGCGGGTTTCTTGCGGGTTTCTTGCGGGTTACCTGATAACCCATAAATTCTATCCAATAGGAACCATGCGCTATAAGTCAAGTTGTGATAGATCAACATACTCAGTTTTTCACTATACAGCATGGTCAACCCCCCTCTTTATTATTAAATTCCCTTATTTACAGCATTGAAAATTCCACGTAAGTGCCTACTGCTCTCATATTCTTCTAAACCATCTACTACCCCTCTTTACTTTCTATATGTCTCAACTCCAATACTCTGATGCTGATGGCTTCTCATCATCTATCTACGATGGTGATATAGATAATCTTCCTTATTTTCCACCAGAGGACTCACATCTTTTATATACACCCGAACTCTCAGTCAGCCAGCAGACAACCAATTCCTTTGATCAAGAGTTTATTCGACCATCCGCCCCTCTCACGATCCCTTCCTCTCTAAAACGCGTTGGCCCAGATCGTCGAAAGGGCTACATTCTCTATGAAAGCATGACACATAGTGATTGGGTAGAATGGTGGCTTCAGACCGACTTTGGGAAACAAAGTAGGGTACGATGGGACTCAAACCACTTTTCTGAAGTTTGGACCCAGTTCGATCAGGTAGCAAATGCCGCTGATGGTGCACCAAAGGTAATGTGCAGACGTTGCGGGCAAATCCTTGAGCACCCTCAATCTCCATGCGCTGGAACGAGTATGCGCCATGGAACTTCGACAATGAACAAGCATTTAAAGGGTATTAATTGTCGCAATTATACTAAGAATAAGACGCAAGCATCTGGTATTACCCAGTTTATACAAACAGCTGTAAGTATAAATATTCATCTATTCTTCTATTTTTCCAACTTTCTCTTCGATCATTAAGAGACGTGTTTTTGTGCACAAAAACATATCTTTAATTAATATTCACGCTCAACGCTTAACTTTCAACGCTATAGAGCAGAAACCCTTTAACCAATCACAGATTTACACAAGATGCATGGGAACAGAAGCTTCTTACTTTCCTTACGGTCGCACGGCTTCCATTCCGACTAGTCGAGCACCCTGAATTTCATAGCCTTATCAGAATGGCCCAAACTGCCCCAACATGCCCTGAGATCCCGTCACAGAAACGTATTAGAAACCGGCTACACACTACAGTGAAAGAGAGACAAGAAGATTTACTCCGAAGGCTACCTGCTGGGTCTAAGATATCAATTGCGCTTGATTGCTGGACATCTCCATTCTCACAGGCGTTCATGGCTATCAGTGGCTATTTTATTGATGAGGACTGGCAGTATCGTGAGATCCTTCTTGGATTCGAACCACTTTATGGAACACACTCTGGTGCAAATCTGAGTGTAGTACTCCTGGAGATCCTTCAGCGACATAAAATTGAGGATCGAGTTCTTGCAGTTGTCACTGATAATGCATCAAACAATAAGACCTTAGTCGACACCCTTCAGCAATCTATGTCAGATGATATTACCCTGATTCGGGTCCCCTGTATCGCGCATGTTATTCAACTCAGTCTAAATGAGCTTCTTGGTTCTATGAAGGCGGACCCTATGAATGAGACAACCGAAGCACGGTGGACTGAGCAGCGGTCCCAGTCAGCTCGCATGAATGCAAAGCACCATAGACGAGAAATTGTGAGAACGTTAAATAAGGTAAGTGATATCAAATCTATGAAATATTACTATTACTTATAAAATTCTCCAGATTCGCAGTCTTGCTATCTATATTAACGCTAGTCCTCAACGCCGGGAAGCATTCTATAAACTTCAACCTGAATCTGTCAAACTTACGCCTATTCAAGATGTCAAAACACGTTGGAACTCTACATTCCTCATGCTTCGCCGTGCAAAGCGCCTCCAATCTATCTTTAACCCTTTTTGTGAGGAATGCGATCGGACAGACTTGATGTTGGATGATGAGGAGTGGCGGCAGATTGAATATCTCCTTTGGATCACACAGCCATTCTTTGAGTTCACTAATGAACTTTCGAAGACAAAAGACGTTACAGCCCATCATATCTTCAAGATTTATAACAAACTGTTTGAACATCTCGAGCTATCGATTTCCCAACTCCAAAGAAAGAAGGCTACTTGGAAAAAGAAGATGCTTGAAGCGCTTCAGGCTGGCCTACAGAAGCTTCGAGTCTATTACTCTGAAACAGATAATATCCGAGGTGACCTTTATGCAGTTGGCACTATCTTAGCGCCAGAGAATAAGCTCCAGTTTTTCATGACTGACGACTGGTCTGATGAATGGCGCCAAAGATATCGACAAAGCTTTAAGGATTACTTTATCCCCTACCAAAGCCGTCTTACTAGTCAACATGATTCTATTCCCTCCCAGTCATCTACTAGGGTAGGATCACGTCTAGATATGATGCTTAAAGGGAAAAGGCAACAGGCAATACCACGTGATGAAGTTACGCAATATCTTGATAGTGGTAAGTTTTATCTGTCTTATACTTAAATATTATTAATCTCTTTAGATATTATTGAAGTTACCCCTCTTACGTTTTGGAGAGAGAATCAGTACCGATTTCCAGCACTTGCAAATCTCGCTCGGGATGTCCTTTCAGTTCCAGCATCTGGTGCTGGTGTTGAACAACTGTTCAATACTGCTCGTGATATTTGCCACTACCGCAGAGGGAGACTAAATGCCACAACTATCCAAGAATTAATGATGTTCCTCTGCACTTCAAGGTTTGATATGCAAGAAGAGCAGTTCAAGTTCTTAAAGGAGTTCTTCTCTCATGATGAGATTGAAGCAGTAAATGAAGAAAGAGATGATTCAACTGATCAATTTGATATTGATCCAATCAGTGATGATGAGGAAGAGGATACACAAGGGCAAGAGGAGACTCAAAGGTCTAAGTCACCTGAAGACCACAGTGAGCATGATTCGCCTGATTTACCTATGATAGAAGGGGTAGATACTCAAAAACGCACATCAGGGAGAGTGCGTAAGCGTGTTAGACGTGAAGATAGTGATTTCCTATATGATTAGCTGTTTATTTAATATATTCACTTTATATTCTATCTACTTGAGTGATTCATAAATCAAGATTTCATGAATTAAGATTATATTGCGAAAACTACAAAGCTGTACTAGGCTGTACTAGGAATACTCAAAAATACTCAAAAATACTACATAATTTATGCAGAGAGAGCTATTTCTATGTTTGTCCTGTTTGACGACCCATTGGGTAATAGGGATGTCAAAATGAAATTTCAAAATTTCGAAATTCCTGAAATTTGGCTGCTTGAAATGTAATTTGAAATGGGGCTTGAAATCTTGAAATCTAGCTAGTCCCAAAGTGGTAATGATTATCTTCCATTCTTCCAATCAAAACAGTCGAACGTAAAGCACGTGACATAGACATCATGTGTCATCTATCCCCCGCCGTCGCCGAGTTGGCCGCTTGGAATCATCTGGAACTCCTTGAGGCCATTCAGATACACGCTTCGACCTCGTCCGCATAAGATGAGCTGAATCTGAATTTGTTGTGGGTTTCGTTGAAGGACTAAGGGGAGGCTCCGAAGTTGGCTTCAACAAGGAGTTAAGCCTCGACTTCAACGCAGAAATGAGGGCAGGATTTGTTGATTCTGAAGCTGAAGTCAAAGCTGAATTCAATGCTAAAACCAGGGCAGACGTTGGTGATTGCTCTGTTGGTTGCTCTGGTGGTTGCTCTGGTGGTTGCTCTGGCGGTTGCTCTGGCGGTTGCTCTGGCGGTTGCTCTGGCGGTTGCTCTGGCGGTTGCTCTGGCGGTTGCTCTGGCGGTTGCTCTGGCGGTTGCTCTGGCGGTTGCTCTGGCGGTTGCTCTGGCGGTTGCTCTAGTGGTTGCTCCGGTGGTTGCTCTAGTAGTTGATATGAGCCCCCTGATAGATCGTCTAGCACTTGGTTTCGCTGCAAAACCCTCTCTATCTCGT